ACATATCAAATTACTATGTTCATTTATTATAATGTAACTTGAACCTAATCTGTTCCACTGATCTACCACTATTTCTTAGCCAGTGATGAATTATTTTGATAATTACCAATTTTATAATACATTTTGAGATCTGTTATGTCTAGACCAGCTTCTTTTGCATTTTTTAATTGATTCCTTTGATATCTTAAGCTTTTGTTCTTCCAGATGAATTTTGTTCTTATTTTTCTAGCTCTATAAAATAACTTTTTGATAGTTTAATTGATATGGCACTGAATAAATAGAAATTTAGGTAGAATTGTCATTTGTATTATGTTGGCTTGGCCTACCCATGAACAATTAACATTTTTTTCAATTGTTTAGATCCAACTATTTGTGTGAAAAGTGTTTTATATTCATGTTCATATAGTTCCTGGGTTTGTCTTGGCAGGTAGAATCCCAAGTATTTTATATTGTCTATACTTACTTTAAATGTTATTTCTCTTTCTATCCTTTGCTGCTATAATTTGTTGGCAATATATAGAAAAGCTGATGATTTATGTGGGTTTATTTTGAATCCTGCAACTGTACTAAAGTTGTTAATAATTTCAAGTAATTCTATTAGGTGATTCTTTAGGATTTTCTAAGTCTAACATCATATCATCTGCAAAGAGTGATAATTTTATTTCTGTATTGTTTATTCTAATTCATTTAATTTATTTTTCTTCTCGTATTGCTATAGCTAACATTTCTAGTACAATGTTAAAAAAATAGATGTGGTAATGGACATCCTTGTTTCACTCCTGATTTTACTGGGAAGGTTTCCAGCTTTTCCCTATAACAGATGACACTTGCTGATGATTTTAGATAAATAGTACTTATCATTTTAGAGTAAGCTCCATTTATTCCTATGTTCTCTAGTGTTTTTAATAGGAATGGGTGTTTTATTTTGTCAAATGCTTTTTCTGCCTCTATTGAGATAATCATATAATTTCTATTGTTTTTGTTATTGATATGGTCAATTATGCTGATGTTTTCCTAATATTGAACCAGCCCTGCATTCCTAGTATAAATCACATAGTGCATGTTCCTTGTGACATATCACTGTAGTCTCTTTGATAGTATTTTTTTTTTTGCATAAATAGTCATTAGGGAAGTTGGCTTATAATTTTTTTCCTCCATTTTGGCTCTTCCTAGTTTGGGGATCAGCACCATACTTGTGCCATAACAAGAATTTGGTAGGACTCCTTCACCAATTTTTTTTTTCCAAATAGTTTATATAGTATTGGGATTAATTATTCTTTCATTGTTTGGTAGAATTCACTTGTGAATCCATATGGTCCTGGAAATCATTTTCTTAGGAAGATCATTGATGGCTTATTAAATTTCTTTTTCTACAATTGGGTTATTTAAGAATTTTATTACTTCTTTTGTTAATGTGGTAATTTTTTTTGTAGATATTCATTTCACTTAGACTGTCAAGTTTATTGGTATATAATTACACAAAATAGCTCATAACTATTGTCTTAATTTCCTCCTATTTGGTGATGAATCCATCCTTTTCATTTGTGATACAACTAATTTGATTCTCTTCTTTCCCTTTTTTTAAATCAAATTAACCAATGGTTTATTTATTTTTTCATAAAACTAGCTTCTAGTTTTATTTATTAGTTCAATAGTGTTTTTACTTTCAATTCTGTTAATCGCTCCTGTGATTTTCAGAATTTCAATTTGGTATTTAATTGGAGATTTTTAATTGGTTCTTTTTCTGTATTTTTTTTCTTGCATGCCCAAATCATTGAGCTGCTTTTTATCTATCTTATTTTTATAAGAAATTAGAGATATACATTTTCCCCTAAATACCACTTTGACTTCACCTCATAAAATTTCGTATGTTGTTTAATTGTTGTAATTTTCTTTAATGAGATTATCAATTGTTTCTGTGATTTGTTATTTGACCTACTTGTGGTTTTTTTAGAATTAGATTATTCAATTTCCAATTAAATTTTAATCTTTTTTTCCATTGTCCATTATTGAATGAAAATTTTATTGCATTATGATCTGAAAAGAATGAATTTACTATTTCTGTTTTTCTGCATTTGGTTGTGAGTTTTGTGTCTTAATATGTGGTCAATTTTTGTGTAGGTGCCATGTACTGCTGAGAAAAAAGATATATTCCATTCTATTCCCATTCAATTGTCTCCAAAGATCTATCATATCTAACTTTTCCAGAAATTTATTCACCTCCTCAACTTTTTATTTATTTGTTTAGATTTGTCTAGTTCTGAGAGGGGAAAAGGTGAGGTCCCCCATTAGTATCTATTGTTATTTTGTTATCTATTTCCTCCTCCAACTCATTCACCTTCTTTAAAAATTTAGATACTATACCATTTGATGCATATATGTTTAGTATTGATATGGCTTCATTGTCTGTGGTACCTTTCATCAAGATATAGTTTCCTTCTTTATCTCTTTTAATCAGATCTATTTTTTTCTGCTTTTTCTTTGCCTGAGATCATTATTGCTACCCCTGCTTTCTTTGTTTCAGCTGAAGCACAATAGATCCTGCTCCAGACCTTACTTTTACCCTGTATGTTTCTCTCTGCTTCAAATGTGTTTCTTTTAAAATAACATATCATAGGATTCTGTTTTTTAATCCATTCTTCTGTCTGCTTCCATTTTATGGGAGGGTTCATCCCATTCATACTTACAGTTATGGTAAATAAATATTTACCCTCTATGCTATTTTCCAATTGTTTATCCCCTCTTCTCTCTTACCTTCACCCTTTCCTTTCTCACAAGTGCTTTACTTCTAGATCATTGTCTTCCCCAAAATACCCTCCCTTTTAGTAATCCTGCCTCCTTCTATGATCCACATTCCTTTTTATTTCCTTATAAGGCAAGATAGGTTTCTATATCCAACTAAATGTGTATATTAATCTCTCTTTGAGCCAATTTTGATAAGAGTAAGCTTTAAGTTTTGCCCACCATACTCCTATCTTCCCCTCCATTATGATAGCTCTTTTTAGTGCTCTTTTATGTGGGATAATTGACCTCATTCAATCTCTGCCCTCCTTCTTCCTCCATTTTTTCCCCATGTTTTTCTTTTATTTTTTTGGGGGGGTATCATCCTATCAAAATCACTTTGTATTCCTACACTCTGTACATATAATGTTTCTAATAATATTAAGATTTATAAATATTACCTTGCCATATAGAAGTATAAACAATTAACCTTATTGAATTTCTTATGTTTTCTTTCTTGTTTATTTTTTACCTTTTTATGTTTCCCTTGAGTCTTGTATTTGGAGATCAAATTTTCACCTCTGGTATGTTTTACTTTGACATTCTTGAAAGTCCTCTATTTTGTTAAATGTCAATTTTTCCCTTGAGATATTATATTCAATTCTGCTGGGTAGGTGATTATTGGTTGTAATCCAAACTCCTTTGCCTTCCAGTGTATCATATTCCAAGCCCTCCATTTTTTAAATGTGGAATCTGACAAATCCTGTGTAATCCTGGCTATAGCACCAAAGTATTTCAATTGTTTCTTTTTGGCTGCTTGTAATACTTTCTTCTTGACCTGTGAGCTCTGGAATTTGGCTATGTTGTATCTGAGTGTTTTCATTTTGGGATCTCTTTCAGTCAGTAGTTTGTGGATTCTTTCATTTCCTATTTTACCTTCTGGCCCTAATATATCAGAGCATTTTCTTTTATAATTTCTTGAAATATGTTATCCAGGCTTGTACTTCTTTTTGATCATTGCTTTCAAGTAGTCCAATAATTCTTATATTCTCTCTCCTGCATCTATTTCCTAGGTCTGTTGTTTTTTTCAATGTGGAATTTTGTATTTTCTACTGTAGTTTTACTTTTTTTTTTAAATTTTCTTTTATCCTATCTTGATGTCTCATAGAGTCATTAGTTTCCACTGGTTCAATTTTAGTAATTATTTTTTTCAGTGAACTTTTGTACTTCCTTTTCCATTTGGCCAATTTGATTTTTTAGGGAGTGATTTTCCTTGGTAAACTTTTTGTATCTTTTCCCATGCTGTTGACTCTTTTTTTTCATGATTCTTTTGCATTATTTTCATTTCTTTTCCCATTTTTTTCCCTCTGCTTCTCTAATTTACTTTTTAAAATCATGTTTAAGCTCTTCTAGGAATTCTTTGTGGTCCAGAGACCAAATTACTTTTTTTTTTTTTTGCAGCTTCACATGTAGCCATTTTGACACTATTGTCCTCTTCTAAGTTTGTGCCTTGATCCTCCCCATCCCCATAGTAACTTTCCATAGCAAAGTTCTTTCTTGTTTTGTTTTGTTTTTTACTCATTTTTCTTGCCTTTTTGTGAGTTGGTGTTTTTATGTGAGAGTTGAGCTCTGCTCCTGCCCTGTCCCGAGCTTTTTTGCTGGGGCTCTGGGTCTTACTGCTTGCTTTCTCTGGACTTCAGTGAAAAAGCTGCTTGCTCTTTCTAGAGGGTAATCTTCCTCTCCGGATTATACTGAGGGGTGGAGTCCCCCTTTTGGCCTCCCTTTGGTTAGCTTCTGGCCTGCTTTAAGGATGGGGACTTACTGCTGGGTAGCTATGGTAACACAGTCTTTCTGGGGGCTGGCCCTGGAAGAGGGATCTTGTTGCTGGCCTCCCTCAGTGCTGGGGCCCTGTTGCTGGAATTGCTATGGAAACAAGGCTTTTGCTATCAGACTTGGAGGATTAATTTTGTTGGTGGTCTTCCTTAGGGGTGGAGCTCTGCTGTTGGGTTGCTATGGAAACAGGTCTCTCCGCTTGTAAGTCCCAGAGGCAGGGTCTTGCTGGTGGCCAGTCCAGAGGCAGGGCTTCAATACTGGTCAGCAATAGGATCGAGGCCGTGCTGGTGTCTTTTGCTGGGGTGGGGTCACTCAGGTGGGGCCCTGCTGTTCTGCACATGTTGCTCACTGGCCTAGGGCTGCTGGTTTGCAGGAGGGCAAGGCGTCACTGGTGAGTTGCTCTAGGCTTGGAACTTTGCTGCAGGCCCCCTGCTGTGAGGCTGGCTGCGGTTGCCTGTGGATCTTATTTCTGACCCACCCAGTGAGACAGGTCTTTTCTGCTGGGCTAGGAAGCTGCATTGCTGCTCCTAGATCAATTCTGAGGTCGTTTCCTAGTTGTTTGGATGGAAATTTGGGACTTCGGAGGAGAACCCCTTCCTCACTCAGACATCTTGGCACTAGAAGTCCTTAAAAGTCGTTGTTACTAATCACTGAAGATCATTCTTTAGCTCATTCTGGTAGCATATAAAGTTCAAAGAAAAAGCTTCTTCTTGACAAGTAAGTATATGTGAATAAAATTAATTTGGAATGTCTGGAAAGCCATGCCAGAGTCAGAGTGTGAAGGGTTTTTGAAGTCACACATAAGAATTTATGTATTACCCTTGGGGCAATAAAGGTACCTTCACAACTACCAAGTTGGGAAATTAGGTAGTAAATACCATTCTTAAGGAATATCAAATTTTACAGTTGTGTACAGGATGGATTGGGAAGGAAGGAGGCTGGGAGCATGGATATCAATTATAACATTACTAAACCTGTCCAAGTGAATAATTGTAAGCCTGAGTTAGGAGAATGGCTCTGTCAATATAGAAGAAATGTGGACAGATGTAGGATATATTGTGGATACAGCATCAACCAGACTTGGAAACTTAGGGGATATGAAGAAGTGATGTGGAAAGAGTGACCCAGATAATTCTGAAAGTTGGAATCTAGTGACTAGAAAGATGGTAGGACCCTCAACTGAAACAGAAAAAAAAATGGGACTAAAGGTAGGTTTGAGGGCAGAGATAATGACGATGTTTTGGACATACTGCATTTGAGATGTCCATACAGCATCAGGTTGAAGATTTTTATCAGAGTTAATGTGGTTTGTGATTTGGGACTGGAGTCTAATGGGAATGATAGCTTTCTATATAAAAACTAATGGTAGAATCCGTGGTACCTGAGAGAGAGAGAGAGAGAGAGAGAGAGAGAGAGAGAGAGAGAGAGAGAGAGCTTGTGAGCTCGCAGTGGAGTGAGGAGTGAGGGAGGGGAGAGAAGAAGATGGTACAAGGAAATGCCACTCCTACTAAGGGTATCTGACAAGTATGATGATTCAATAGGAGAGATGGAGAAGGAGCATCCAGTTAGGTTTTTCATGAAAAATCTTGGAATAAAGAGTATCTCGGAGGAGTGGGTAGTTAATGATATCATATGTTGCAGCAATCAGAAAAGATGAGGAGTGAAAAATAATCAGATTTGGCAGTTGATAGATCATTGGTAACTTTGGAGATAGCCATTTCAGTTAAATGATGAAGTGAGAAGCCAGATGGAAAGGAGTTGAGAAGTGAATGGGAGATGAGAGTTTGAAAATAAGAAGTACCAACATTTTTTTTTCTATTTCTTTGGCTGTAAAAGAGTGAAGACAAGTAGATAGGTAGATAGGTACAGACAGACAGATACAGAGGTAGATAGATGGATGGATGGCCAAACATCCAGACAGAGAGACAGAGAGACAGACACACAGATAGATAGATAGAGATAGAGAGAGAGAGAGATAGATAGATAGATAGGTAATTTGGGGGAATGGAAGAATCAAGGGAAGACTTGTGAGGGACAGGAAATAGGTAGGCATAATTTAGGGGGTAAGGAAGGAATCAATAAATAAAGATTGAGAATTTAGGAGAATGAAATAGGATGATTCTGAGTTAATCTTCTGAAGAAGATTGGGCAAAGGGCCCAAGCAGAGGGATTGGTGTTTGCAAAAATGACAAATTACCTCTTCCTTTGTTACTAGAACAAAGGAGAAAGCACAGGAGTAATGCTGAGATGATTTGGAAGGTAGAGATGGAAGGGAGAAGAAGAATCAAAAGCAAGAAAAGAGATACTCAAGGGCAGAAGGAAAAAAGAGGATAAAAAGAACAGGAGAAGAAGAGACAAATAGAGAAGCAAGAGGAAAAGGGAGAGAGGAGGGATGATCTGGAAACATCTATTTTTTTTTCCTGGATAGTTTAATTAAATGCCATGCAATTTTGAGGCAAAAGTTAAATTTTGATTATCATATAGTCTACCTAGTTTGTCTTGAGGAGAAGAAAATAAATACTATTTGATATATGAGGTAACCTCTTTATAGGAAGCAGTCTGTCTAATTTATCTTAATGTTTTTATATCATTATAAATGCCACCCTGGGAATTATTCCTATGTAGACATTCTTAGATCCATTATGCTCTCTTTATTTAGCCACATATTGATCTGACTGGAAAATATGCAAAGTTGCCTTTCATGTTATAAATTTCATCATTACCACAAATTTAGCTATTCCACTTATTTTGACGGAGAATGTAGATGAATCTATTCCTAACCTTCTCGCTGTAACTTTAGGTCAGACCATCTTACCCTGCAGTGAAAGTGAATCATGGTGCTTTAATGGCTCTGTGACTGAAAGTGGAGAAACAGTCTAACCATGGGACCCAGAAAGCTTCTTGCTTCTCAATAGAGTGTTCTTTTGAACTTTATTAAAGTTGGAAAAAAAAAAAAGAATTTAAGACCCTTCCAAATGATGAGTAATGCACTGAACAGAGGAGACATAAGATACATTTGGGTATTATAAATCAAGGGAAATTTACTTATGCTGATATAAATTCCATCTGGTTTAAGGAAATAATATACGGCATATTGAAATTCAGTTGGATTAAATTCTCAGGCCTCCAGTCCTTTAGCTGTTTCACCAAACCCCAAAGAGTGAATAACTGAGGAAGAGTAATCTAAATCAGCTATCTTGAAGGACAGAATAGAATTCTGTTTAATTTTCAATAGTGTAGCCAATCATATTATGTCTTGTTTCTTTCAGAAAATAATGTCCCTAGGGGGAAGACCATTGGTTTCAAAAGTCATTAAATTGGTCATTATCATTTCAGAACTCCAATGGATTTTGTGATTTCATTGGTGGTGATTTGTATATCAACTATGACCATGTCTGGGTGGAACTACAAAATTAGATTTGAACTAGTAAATTTAAATAGATTACAGTCCTCCCCTTCCTTACCCCTACAATTTGACCAGTAATTTAGTTGAGCATATCAATTGTTTTCATTATTGTATAGGTGTGGCTTAAACAAAGGACTAGATACCAGTAGCTGTGGAAGTCCAGATGTTGCATGATCTCCACTTTAATCATCCTTAAAAATAACAATGCAATGAAAAGATATATATATATATATATAGTTAGTTTAGATGAGTGGTCTTATCAACCCAAAATAAAATCTTTCAGTAGTAGGACTTCAAAAGTTAACTTTGGAAGTGAAGACTTCAAGGATTTGAATTTATTAGTGGAAAGGGAAGAACTCTTTCTGTTTTCCTGGATTTTTATGAATAAAGCAAACACTGCAATACTACGCCCTGGGAATGTAAAGATAGGGGAAAAAAAAAAGAAAATGGTCTCTCCCCTCATGTAGTATATATTCTACATGTTGCATCTTTCTCCTCAACCCCTAGTAGAAAGCAGGCTCCTTGAGAGGAAAGACTGTTTCCCCCACTTTTTTTTTCCTTTGGTAGCGATAATAGACTTCAAAGTTCATCATATTTATTAAATACTCAATATTTGTTGTATTGAAATGGATAAGAAAGTTGGTTGCATCATAGTAAGAAATAATCTATTACATGTCAGTCGTATACCACAACTACCTCTTCTAAATCTCAAAATCACTAAGGCACTCAGACATCGAAAAAGGAAATTGTATTCTAAAAGTTAGAATTTGTAAAAGCACTATTAAAATGCAGTCCACTCAATTAAGCAATAAGACATGATAGGGTGTAGTGGCTTGCAATTAATGAAAGTTTTAAGGTTGATGATTTTAATGACATCAGAAATGCTCTAATCATGCCTAAAGTAATTATCTTTTCCCTTTATCTAATGGAGTAGATGATAGGTAGAAAACAAAAGAAGCAATTAGACATTGATGATATGAGCTTGCTTTGATTAATATTGAATAATAAAAACCCACCTTTTCTCCTGGAATTAATTTTGATATTTCAAGACAGTAAGTTCTTTCATTATCTGTAATTTCAATCACTTCTTCACTGAAATCTTCCGTCTTCATACTCTATAGCCATTTTCTTTCCATCCACATTAAGAGCTTTGCCCTTCATTCAAGATACCAAACCTAGTGTTTTTGACCTTTTCATCTCTTGAACTTTTCTCTCTGGGAACTAGCTGTCTTATTTTTGAATGCCTTACTTGACTCTCTATTTCAGGCAGTCACCTGGCAGGTTTCACTTTACTTGTCATTCTCTAACCTGGACCTTTAAGTAGCATACCCTCTAGTTCCAGTTCCAGAACTGTGATCAAATTAACTCGTTTATGGTTCTTGGAAGAGGTGTGTTAACATACTCCCCTACTATGTCCCAACTCACCATTCCTGTAACCTTTTCAATAAAAATCCTTTTCTCTGACTACTACTGACCTGTGTCAAATCTGATTTAGAAGGGTCTAAGCAACATTTTGAGTTTGGAAAATTCAGTTTTTCAATCTGAGGTCCCACTGGCTATTAATAGTCAAGTAAGACTTAAGTAATACTTAAAAGATTATTTACTGTGATGATATGTTAACAATTATTAATACAAAAAATTGTGAAAAGGATAAAGGTGGCACAATTTCTCAGGAATACACATAATTCAAAGTATAACATTAGCGACATACATTTGGGAAAGTCCTTCCTACCTTTATTTTTAGTGTCCCTTGGGTGAAGCTCTTTGGTAGGTCAGCCACTCACCTAGAATTCTAGGATTTATGTATTCATTGATTCAATAGCCAGAACTTCTGTTCTATAGGGCAAATAGGTGGCATAGTGGATAGAATGTTGGGCTTATAGGCTAGAAGGCCTGAGGTCAAATCCAGTCTCAGAAACTCATTAGCTGTGTCACTCTGGAAAAGTCACTTAGCTTCTCTGCCTCAGTTTCCCTTACTGGGAAATTGTGATAATGATAGAACCTATCTCCAAGAGGTGTTGAGAGGATGAAATAAATATTGTAAAATTCTTAGAAGTGCCTGGCACGTAGTAGGCACCTCACCTTGTCCTTACCTTGCTTCTGCCTCCAAATAGGCTCCCTGTAGTTGTCATTATACTTGTGAGACTGTATTTCTCTTTCATTGAATGTATTTTCACTAATTTTAGGAACTACTACTCCTGGCAACATAGCTTTACTCTCAGGTGGACACTGCCATTGATATGATCCAGCTTTTCTACACCTGATGGACCGATAAGACAAATGAATTTCCTGAACTCATGGCACAATTTGATCTCCTGAATTCACCGAGATATTTCCATCTCTGGTCACCTAAGGTGGGAAAAGAACCAATACACATGCATAGAAGCACCCATGTAGTCACAGCTGCCATGGCTAGTTGGGAAACAGGGCAGCCACTTTTTCCTCATCTAGATCTCAGAGAAAGCTCAAAGTACTCCTCTGTCCCTACAGCCTCAAAGAAAAGAAGAACTAGCTGGAGACAATCTTTCTACAGAATCAACATGTAGCTCCCAATTACATGACTCAATAGATATAGAGAGATCACTAACTTAAGTTATCTCAGTGGTTACTTCTATCAAAAACTCTTGAATGAACACAACATATACTGCTTGTTTAGGATTATGAAATTTAAGAAAAAAAATCCATGTCCAGTTGCCAGCATTATGCCTGACATATAGTTAGTAATTGATGAATGTTTGGCATATGATTGAATGAATGAATGAATGGTGTAGGCAGGTAGATTAATTGTCTCTGTACATAAATAATGCAAAGCTCTTCTGGTTCTCAAATATAAACAACTGGCAGTGGTCACAAGCAAAGTGAAATTTGAGTTAAGATTTATTTTTGTCTTAGTTAATAATTGATAGCTCATTTTTATTGTGTTTTGAAGTTTTCAAAGTACTTTACAGATATCTCATTTTAACCTCACAACACCTTAGTAGGTAGATGCTATTGTTATTCCCATTTTAGAGATGAAGAAATTAGACAGACAAATGTTAAGTAACTTGGCTTGTATCACACAACAAGGAAGTGACTTTCTTGTAACCTCTAGTGGCTAGTACCACATCCCCTACTCCTTCCAATAATAATAATAAATAAATAAAATTATATTGAGTCTGTTTATATATGCATATGCTTTTATATATATATGTGTCAACTCTGAGAGACTGTGTTCCTTGTGGACAGGGATAGTATCATTTTTTTTTCTTTCCAAGCCCCAGTGCTTAGCCCATGCCTGGAGCATAGAAATTTATAGCGAATGCTGATTAATGGAATGTTCTATGAAAAAAAATTAAATTATAGATTTCTGTACATGTTTTCTTTTCTCTCCTAGAATATAAGCTCCATGAGGGTAGGGGTAGGGATGCATCTATACTATATATTTTCTTTAGTACCTACTACGATAGATTCACTTTCCATATTCTCCTGTATCACAATGTCAGCAACCTTATACATCTAATTTAACTTCCCTATTGTTATTATCATTCTTGTAGATTTTGTTTTCTTATTCTGTACATATATCCCCTTACTCTTTTCCTGAGAATGCCAGACAACAGAAAGCTACCACAGGAAAGTAGATTTTGGAAATGTATTTGTATTGTGGAGTTGTAAAGCAAAGGGTGGAAAATTTCTGTGCTAATGGGCTATTGAGAGTATCTTGTATGTATTTACTTTGGTTTCCATTGAACGACTATTGAAAGAAGATACCCATTGGCTGGAGTTTGTTGTAAAAAATGTTTCCCTAAAAATTGGACTGACAAAAATACAAATATAATAATTTAATATATTTAGAATTAAAAGGGACTTTAGAAATTATCTATTCCAATCCTATAATTTTTGCAGATTTGGAAACTGAGACATTGGCAAATTAAATGGCTTATTCAAGATGAATCAGTCTGTAACTCAGACAGTAAACGGCTGAGCTAGCTTTCAAACCTGGGAGCTCTGATGCAAAATTCAAATTTTGTTTTTACTCTGCCACATTTGTGTTTCTTCTCACATGGAGTTTCCAGACTTAATCAAAATCCTGACTCTGTCATTTATTACTTTAATGACTTTGGACAAATCAGTGAGCATTTCAACAAATCAACATTTATTAAGTGTTTATTATATGCTATATGTAATACAAGGTATTGTCCTAGGTGATAGAGGTACTTAGAAAGAAATTAATAAAATACCCTTGTCCCCAAAGAGCTTGCATTCTGCAACTATTCTTATCTTCATACTCAAGATCTGTAAAAATAATAAATTGAATTCAATAATCTCTAAGGTCCCTTTTATCCTTAATTCTATTATCCTATAAGTTTCTGATGCAACTCCCTTCCCATGAAAATTTCACTCTCTGAATAGTAGTAGAAGGTAAAGTACATTGTCTTGTTGCTTTTCTTTTTGTATGGCTTCTTGCTCAAACTCTACCTTAATGTCCCTTTGCTAGATCTTCAGTCTAAGTACTTCTGACTCTCTTATAAGACAGTACAGTTTCAGAAACTACAAGTATTCAACAACAGGGTTCCCCTCTTCAAAGATCTAAGCCATTGCCTTTCCATTGTTTGAATCAAGAACTTGAATCCTAGTGGCCATCTTGATCCATGCAGCAAAGATTGTACTCTACCTTCTGGGAGAAGAGCACATATATGCACGCAAACATTGACTCACCTTGGAATCTGTTTTATCTCCATTGTCTCAGATGTTCATTTAGCTCCCTCAAGATCTCTATGAAAAAGAGACTAATGCTGCAGTTGCTACCATTTTCATATGGGTCCATCATAAAGAGGTAGCTGAGAACCACAAAAGTCTCAGCCACTAAGCTATCTTCAATTAAGTCATGGAAGTTCAAACCAATCAATTAATGAAAATTAGCAATGATAAGTAAATAGTAGTAATGACAATTTAGGTGTCCCTTGATCTTTACTCAGGTTGTCAATGGGCCTGTCCATTCCCTTCATGCAAAGATACATTTAAACTTCTTCAAAGAACTGAATCTCTTATAAAGTAATCTATTTGATTAAAGAATCTGTGAATAATTACAATGTTAATAGATAAAAAAGGAGGCACACCCTCCCCATATTAGGCAGACTTCCTAAGGCAGATTCATAGGAGGATATGTCTAAGTGATGCATTCCTCTAGCAGGTATGGATATTTCATATTCAGAGGATCACAGATTTAGAGCTAGAAGAGGCATTAGAGGCCATCTGGTCCAAAGACCTCATTTTACAGTTGAAGAAACTGAGTCTTAGAGAGTTCAAGTTATTTTTCCAGATTCACACAACTCATAAGTGTTTGAGACAAGTATATAACTCAGTTCTTCCTAACTTCAAGCTCAGTGCCCTATCAAGTATACTACCAAGATGAATTGCAGTATGGAGTAACCACTTCACCAAAATCATAGATCCATTAAAGTGGTGAATTATATTTGCATATGATTGCATATGTAATGAAAATTGTGAATGCCTTTATTACCTTCAGACTTTTTTATCATTACATAAAAAATCAAACCTAGAAGAAAAACGGAGTTAAATCCTGAATATGCAAATGAAGCCCACTGATTTAGAGAATTCATGGTGTATCTTAAAGAATTCTTGACAGATTTCTGAATGTTTCTAGAAATTGCCCACAAAATCACCATTCTATACAATTTTTATGGTACAATGAGCATGAGAATTGCTGCATCAAATGAAAACATACCCATATGCCATCTGGTTAATCTACCAATAAATAGAAAATCTCTTAAACAATTATAATATGGATAGCATTGCTTAAAAAGAAATCCTTTTCATATTTTAAAATTATCTTTTGTGACTGGAGAGATAAACGTGATTAAGTACAATGTACTCTGATTTTCACAGTAAAGTTGTGAGGGAGGGGTGACCCAAACTGCACCCACTATGGGGCAGCTGCATAATAATAATAATACTCTATATAGCCCCTATTGTAGCCAAGTACTTTCAGTTGCTTATCATTTGCTGAAATTTCCTTCCTTTGAGCTTAATTTCCCATGACTCTATTGGACATTGTGTTGGATTTTCTAACATTTCAGCAATATTCTTTATGCTGCTTTAAAGATGGAAAACAGATAAATAAATAGATAGCCAGATCTATAGACAGACAGATAAAAAGACAAGACAGATGAGTTCTCATAGGTCCCACCAAGCCGCAAAGTCTTTAGTATGTCCTGGTAACAATTGTTGCCTGATTTTACAGTTAATGAAACTGAGGCTCAGAGTTTAAATGACCTTCTTGTTGTCACATAGCTAATAAGAGGCAGAATCAAGATATGATCTTGGAGCACAAAGTCCTGTACTTTTTCAACTATACTATGAGTATACCATCATTTCAAACCCTGGTGACTAGAAAATATTGACTCCTTTGACAAAAACAGGGAAGCCAAGAAGGGAAACTGGATTGGGGGAGAGATAATGAGCTCAATATTGTTTAAGTTAAGTTTCATGTAATACGAATTCATTCAAAAAGACTTATCTCTTAAAGAGTAGGATTTTTAGTAGGATGCTAATGTAATATGGAATGACTAGATATACACATGAGACATCAGCATATTAGCAGAGTCATAATCAGAACTACAATATCAAGGGCAAATACCACAAGCCATTCCTGAAGCAAGAGGTAGAAGGGTATCCGTAAGGTAAACCTGAGCCACTGTCCCAAAGAACAGTGACTCTGGTTCACTGCTTTTGAAGGCTTGCCACATGGGCACAAAAGAAGGGATGGAAAGCAGGGTGGATCAGAGAAGGAGCTCACCACAGCCAAATATTTAGTAGTTTCTATTTTAATGAACTTTTCTCTTTGACTTGGTTCAAAGCTATGGTTTGCTGTGCTGCTGAATGACTGCAAGTTTCGTCAGTACCCCTTATAGTCATTGCCCTGGGACTAAGCCCTAGTCAGCTCCACCATGATTATATCTCTGCTTGCAATTGATATTTGAAGTCATTGGAATTGGTACAAATGATGGAGATGTTGTACAGAGAGAAAAACAGAGTTCTGAACAGAATCCACAAGATATTCAGTTAGGCAGTAGGAGGGAGAAAGGGGACAGATAGGGAGCACAATTAACTTGAAATAATTACATCTATAATCAGAGTCCGTGAAAGGTCCAAATGAATGGTCCCTAGAATATCATGTAAACATATTTGCATGCAGAGTGTTAAAATCAAAGAGAAAAAAAAAGGAGTGAGAAAACAAAAGGTCAACATTTCTTCAAAAACAAAAGTTGACATTTTAATTAACAGGCAGTCTTTCCTCCTGCAAATACAGTATATGGCATCCATATAGTTGAATAAAGGCAATGGACGAATTGGTGCTAAAATTGAAGGTTGCATTATTGAAGATAGCCTGGTGTCTTCCTGTCCTGGTAACTGATATGATTAAATAAAAGGGGGGAAGGGGGCTGCTTTTCATGCTTTAGACAACACACCTGAATTAAGATTTTGATGGAAATGCTCTCAGAGACTCTTAATGTCCTCTTGCTTCTCACTTTACTTATTTGGACAGTAGGCAAACACATAAGATGATTAAAGGTTTGAAATAATAAAAATGACCTATCTGTGGAGGACTTTTATTTTCTTTTACTGTGTGAGATTTGGTTAGTGAGGTCCCCAAAATGTGAATCTGATAGAAACAAGAAGAGCCACATTTAGAGAAAAAGTTAACTGAAGAGAATAATTTGTTTATAATATATCCTTCCATTAATACTCTGATTAAATCACTCATTAGAATGCAAACTCCTTAAGGGTAGGGAATATGTAAGGGTATTTTTGTTTGTTTGTTTATCTGTTTCAGTTTTGTTTTTTTTTTTGTTTTTGTTTTTAATATGTTCTTCCAAAGCTGAACACAGTGCCTAGCACAGGAACAAAAAAAGTGCTTAATAAGTGCTATTTACTTGATTCTATTCCTTACTGGTTTTCTGCAGCAGATTGACCCCATTATCACACCCACTGGCTCCTTTCATGATCTCTAAAACCAGACAGTTTCCTCCATTATAAACCTCTCATTTGATCCTGGCATACCAGGTAGCTATCATACAGTATTTCCTCTTCCCTGCATGACTAAAGTACTGGAGACAGCCAACTAGTCATGACATCTTCTCACTCTCTTTGAAACCTGCAATCTGCCTTCTAAACTGATTCTTCAAGTGAAATTACATCTTCTAGAGTAATCAATGTGCAGCTATAAAGCCCTTTCCTCACAACAAATTGTGACTTAAATAGTTCAAACTTCTTATTTTGTAAGTTAAGAACCTAAAGCCCAGAGGAGTTATTTGTTCAAAGCTGCACAGCAAGTGCACAAGGAGGTGGTGGAGTGAATAGAGCACTGGACTTGAAGAGAGGAAGACTCATCTTCTTCCTGAGTTCAAATCTGGCCTCAGACATTTACTAGTTGTGTGACCCTCGTGGACTTGAAAGTTGATTAAAGAGACAGCAAGCTAGGTGATAAGTATATTCATATTGTTTTATTCCCTTAAGTTAGCAGTATGCAAAATGTTACATGGAGGCAGAGCTTTATCTCCGACTGAATCAAGCAATTTTTGGAGGACATTAAAACTCTGACTCAGGATGTCTGTGTTACTCGGTTTTATGGTCTCCATATTTTGAACCAGAGCATGAGAAATGGAATTTAAATAAGATAGGCAAATGTCAGATCCAGGATATATCTGTGTTTCCTTTAACACCATCAAAGAAGTGTCTGGGTTAAAGGAGCCTTAGTGGTCATAAACATAAGAAAGCTCTTGGTCACCTTTAGCTGTTGATGCAGGAAGGGTCATTCTCAGCTCACTGAGGAAGAAAAGATTAATTAAGGTTTTTGGCCCTTATTGAGGCTCAATTGATCTTAAATGATTATCACCCTGGACAAGTCACTTAACCCTGTTTGCCTCAGTTTCCTCATTTGTAAAATGAGCTGGAAAAGGAAATGGAAAACCACTCTAGTATCGTTACCAAGAAAATCCCAAGTGGGGTCACAAAGAGTCAGATATGGCTGAACAACAACAAGTTATCTTAATAATTAAATGTAATGACCTTTTCTTTCCAGTCCTCATTTTTCTTGAGCTCTCTGGAACATTTGATGCTGTGGTGGTCTAGGGGTTCTGGCAACCCCAAAATTCAAGAGCAAAAGGACATGGATCTGCCTGAAAAGAATTCAACTACTCAAGCCTTCTTTCAGTTGGAAACAAGATTTATTGTGTCTCCCACAGAAGCAGGTAGGATTTTAAAAATCTATGCATTTGCTAGGGGCAAGACTGGTCTTTTTATAAGGAAAAAAGATTATGGGTTGTGGGAAGATTTGGATGGGATCAAGGAGTGGCCAGAAACCTGGGATGACCTGGAGGTAACAGAGGAGGGATCTAGATGGGATTAAGGGTGGAAAGAAGCCTGGGGTGGTGCAGAGGTAACAGACAATGAAGTGCTGGGCTGTGTCAGAGGTAACAGAGGACTGAAGGTTGGGCTGGGTCAGGGCTACAATGAAAGGACAGTGGAAGAGATTATACTGGCATGAGCAGATACCTCAGGCAAATGCCAGAGAACTGGGTTCAGGGGCTGGGTTCCTAAAATTTGTGAGAAAGTTCAAAGAGAGGAGGTCCAGAGCCCACACCCCATCAAATATTAATGATGTTGGATACTATATTCTCTCAGTTTATTTTGTGACACTGCTGTCTCCATGTTTACCTCTCATCTATACAAATATTTCATCTGGTTCTTCTTTACTAGTGCTAACCATGGGTATCCCCTAAGGCTTTGGTCTGAGAATTTTATTGCTCTATTCTCCATCACTTGGTAAACTCTTTAACTATCAGAGATTGATTTTTTTTTTTTAAGATATCCTCTCTTGAACTTCAGCTCCATATAACTTACTTCTTGGACTTGTCAAACTGGATGTCTCAGAAGCAATTCAAATTCAATATGTCTAGAACAGAAATAATTATTATTATTTTTGTCCTGAAACCTGCTCTTATGAATTTCTAGTAACACAGTTTTAAAACAAAATGAAAAAAGGAAGAGAAGAAAAGAAGAGAGAAAAGGAGAGAGAGAAGGGAGGAAGGGAGCATTTCTTAAGTATTTCTTACTTTGTGCCAGGCATTGTTTAAGCCCTGGTGATGCAACTATAAGCAAAAATAAATGTAGTCCTTGCCATCAAATAGCTTATAATCTAATGAGGGAAGACATTAAATCAAAAGGAGCTGAAAATTGGTGGAGTGGAGCATGAATATACCCACTGCTGGGACATGTTTTTTCCTGTATTAAATTACAAACATCTTGAGGGCAGGGAAATTTTTATTATTGTTTTGTTTTGTTTTGTTTTGTTTCGAGTGTTCTTGTGCCTGGCACATAGTAGACATTAAATCATTTCTTGTTGCTTGATAATCCATCCAAATTATTTTATCCTATAATTTTCTTGTCTATAAATTTTACTAACAGTATCTGCCCAGCATGAGGGTAAATGGGGTGAAAAAGGCTCTCCTTTGGGCCTTTTAATATTTCATGGGTACCAGTGTAACAGACTCTCTGTTATTAATGGGAGGGGGCAAGAATATGCCTGGGTGGAGTCTTTTTGAGTAGCCCTTAAAAGTAAATCATCATTGGTAATATGATGTCACCTAATGACTCCTGTGGAGTATCCTTACATTGACTTTTTCATTACTTGCTACTCTGATTCTTATGAGTTCATTGTTTCATGATTAGCAATCCAATTGCATCATTGGGAGGATAATAGTGTTTAAAAGCTCAGATTTATTTGAGGAGCTTTGTCTTCCATTCAAAAACCATTTCCTAAATACAAGCCATTATGCTATGCTATAAAGATACAAAACAAAAGGAAATACTTCTTCTCCTCAAGGAGTTTATATTCTACTGAAATGCACAACAAATACAGATATAAATACAAATACAAAATACATGCTAAGTAAGATAAAGTAAATTTGAGGACAAGGAAATCATTGGTAAAGGGAAAAAAAAAACTGGTTTCCCCAATTGCAAGCACCTTAATTTCATTTTATTATTTAAAATGAATCTTAAGTATTACTTACTTTGATTTATTGATCAAGTCTCCTTGATGAGGTCCAGAGGTGAGAGGTGCTGGAATCCCAAAATCAGGACACATGGGTCCTGTCCAAAAGAATTTGACCAAAACCTTCTTTTAGCCAAAAATAAGGTTTGTTAAAGATCCACCATATTAGCCAGAGTCTTAAGGTTTAAGGAATCTGACCTTCTGTGAGCTATTGACTGGATTGTAAAAATCTAAGCAGTGACTAGATTATAAGAATCTGAACATGTTAATGGAGAATACAGAAAAACTATGGGAGGGATCTAGGAGTGGCCAAATAGTGTGAGGTAATAGAGCTCCAGGGGTGGCCAATGGAGAATGGAGCCTAGATGAGACAAAGCATGGGAAATGGAGAAAGGGTGGGGGGGTGGAGGGAGAAGGAGGGGACAGGGAGGTAAAACAATGGAGGGCCAGGCTACCTTAAAGGTAACAGAGATTGGGCATAGCCACAATAAAAGGCCAGTTGATGGGATTATAGCTTCAAGGGATTGCCAGAGATTAGGCCATGTGGGAAATTCCAGAGTTCTTTTTTTTTTGGGGGGGGTCTAGCTCCCATCCTCATCTGCCTCAGATTAACTGAAAATGATGTCCTGATTACCAGTGTACCATGAATAGAACATCTGATATCATAGAAGCAACAAAGAAGATCTAGTCTTCCATCTAGCTCAATGGCTTATGTAGTGTTAGAATTTGGGGAAATCATTTGGCTTTTCTAGGTGATGGTTTCCTATTCTGTAAAAGGACAAATTTAGACTAGATCAGCTATACAGCAAGGACATCTGTGCCACAGGCAATACAGTTTTGAAAACTGAAATATCACTTTACAAGATAGCTTAAGGAAAGAAAAATTCAAACAAAATGAACATTTAACAAAATCAAATACAATATTTTTTCCCAAAAAAAGGTGATCAAGGTAACACTAATACCTATTAACCCATATGACAGTTATATCACCTCTATAAATTCTTTATGAAAATGATCTGCTTGAATATCAAAGTTAGCCTGAATAAAAATAGAAACCTACAGCCTTTTGCATGAAATCCTATGTATGCATATAGATGTATATATCAATCAGATCACATTTGAACAGTAACCTGTCTGACTAATCTTCAAAATTATTTGGTACTTCTGAAAATAAAAACAAAGAGTAATTGAGCATGTTATATCAGATAAGAAGAACTGAACAGAGTAGAATAGTCTTCCTTAAACCTGAGAACATAAAATATGTGGGAGAAACTGTATTTTTTAAAAACTGCTGGGTAAAAAAAACAAACAAAAGAAAAAAAAACCCAGCTTTCTGAGTTGAGAACACTACTTTTCATTGTCCTTAACTGTGTCTACTTTCCAAATGAAGTAACTAAGAATTAGTATATACATTGATTCAATTTCAGAATTTCAGCCTATTTTTGGTAGAACTCTCTGCTCCTCTCTTTTCTGATTATGAACATCCTGCTATCTTCTTGCTTTTCTATTCTCTGACATTCATTACAAACACTCTCAGGCACAAGGATTCTTAATGTTTTTTGTTGACCTTAGGTTAAATTCTTATTCCTAAAGTGCGAATCCCCTCTGCTAAAGAAGGTTTAGGGGTCTCCTATTGCCCTTTGGATAAATACAAACTCCTATTTGACACTGAAAGTCCTTCACAATCTCACTAAAGCAGGGGTGGGGAACCTGTGGCCTTGTAGGTCCATGGGTGTGGACTTTTGAATGAGTCCACATTTTACAGAACAAATCCTTTTATTAAGGGGATTTGTTCTGCGAAGTTTGGATTCAGTCAAAGGGCCACACTTGAGGACCTAGAGGGATATTTGTGGCCTCAAGGATGCAGTTTCCCCACTCCTGCAGGTATACCTTTGCAGGTTGATTACACATTGCTTCCTCACATTGACTCTACTGACCAGTCAAATATACTGTTTGCACTTCCATATATATGACATTTCATTTCTCACCTTCATGCATGGAATGTTCTCCTTTCTTCCTGCTGTCTCTAGGGGTCTCTTACCTTCTTTTGTTGCTTCATTCAAAAAACTTTCCTGTTCCACCAGCTCTTTGTTAACATCCTTGATTCACTGTTATACTGTATAGTTGCCCCATATTTACTTATCTTGACATATTCCATAGCATCTTCCTACAAAAATGCGTTCTTCAGGGAAGTGTCTCACTATTGGTATCCTTAATGGCCAACAAAACATTTGGCTCATACTATGCATTTAATAATTTTTTTTAATTGCATAGTTAAACCAAATCCATCAATTCCTTTTTGTTTTCACCTTTCCCAAGAAAATCATGTACCCTTTATGCACTTAATGACAACTTTTCTGCAGTTTTTGTATTCATTTATAATATGGTTTAGACTTAAAGGGTGATACCAAAAGAAAATTAGGAGAGTAAGGAATAGTTTACCTGTCAGGTCTATGGAGAAGAGAAGTAGTGATGACCAAACAAGAGATAGAGAACATCATGAAATTGAAAATGGATAATTTTGATTACATTAAAATTTTTTAAAAAGTTTTTCACAAAGTCAAAGCAACCAAGATTAGAAGGGAAGCAGAAAGCTGGGAACAATTTTCAGAGCCATTGTCTCTGATAAAGACCTCATTCCTAAAATATATAGAGAACTGGGTCAATTTATAAGAATACAAGTCATTTACCAATTGAAAAATGGTTAAAAGATATTAACAGGCAGTTTTCAGATGAAGAAATTAAAGCTATCTTTAAGCATATGAAAAAATGCTCTAAATCACTATTGATTAGGGAAATGCAAATCAAAACAACTCTGAGGTACCATATCATACCTATCTGAATGCCTAATGAAAAAAAAAACAGGAAAATGATAAATGTTGGAGAAGATATGGGAAAATTGGAACATTAATGTGTTATTGGTGGAGTTGTGAACTGATTCCATCATTCTGGAAAGCAATTTGGAACCATACCAAAAGGGTAATAAAACTCTGCATACCCTTTGACTGAGCTATAACACTACTAGGTCTGTTTCCCAAAGAGATCATAAGAAAGGGGAAAGGACCCAGATGTACAAAAATATTTATAGCAGCCCTTTTTGTGGTGGCAAAGATTTGGAAATTGAGAGGAAGTCTGTCAGTTGGGGAGAG